TACATAAAACTTTCCGATTTCATTTCTTCCCAAAAGTCATCCCGGGGCCGACCTTCATGAACGCCGGCCGGGAAGAGATGTCCTCCCACCAAGCCTTTACGTGGGGACGATCGTTTATAAACTGGGCACAAGAAGTCTTCATGAAGTAGTGGGTGTAAGGAATGTGGTGGAGGTCGGCCAAGCTGTAGAAATCTCCGGCGAGGTACTTGCTGGTGCTCAGCCTCTGCTCGTACACGTCCAGGACTTTTCCCAGGTTCTCCAAGTTCTCGTCGATGATGGCTTGGTCCGGGGTCTTGCCGAGGAGTGGTGCGACGCTGAATTGGAAGACGATTTTGGAGATTGCAGGGTCGAAGTGGTGCGCTTCCACCTCCATCCACTGTTTCACAAGTGCTGCTTCTTTGAGGTCTTGGTGGCGGATGAGATCCGTGCCACTCTCTTTTAGTTTCTCACATAGATATGCAGTTATTGCTCTTGATTCTAGAATCAAAATAAACAGATATAACTATATTAACATGGAAACCGCAGAATTCTAGTATTTTAGTCCGCAGTTTTGCAGTCTAGAAATCTTGCTAATACTACATGGAAGATCGACTCATGTTGGAAAATACTAGACTACACAAGGCATATCTAAATCAAATATCATGTATGCATTTTTATCATGCATAAATAGTAGATCTGAGGAGAGAGATTAACGAGAGCATACCAAAAAGAGTAAAATCGCCATCTTCAAGTACTGGGATCAGGCCAAAAGGCTGCATATTAAGGGGAGAAAAGTTATGAATCCATACCTAGAAATGAAAAAGTTGGAAAAAGGAAAACCCAGAAAAGGGAGGATGGGATTTACATTCTTGGCGAGGAAAGGAGGCTGCCTGTGTTCGGCGGCAAAGAGATTGACCGGAACGAGCTCGAAATCGGCTTCCTTTTCATGGAGACAGAAAAGGACGCGAGCGGCGCAAGTGGACATGGGAGCGCCATGCAACTTGAGCGCCATGGAGAAATGGAAAGGGAGAGAGTGAAAATAAGAAGAGGGGTTGTGTTGATGGGGAAGAGGGAAACAGAGCGGTGAAGGAAGATGCAGAGGAGGGAGTGTTTATATAATAGCGGAGTGCACCGCACCTTTCGGTGCTGACTATGTGGTCTGAACTAGTGGGAGACTCTTGGTATGGTAGTTGAGCTACACAAGGAAGATTAATTAATAGAGAAAACTGTTGTATAAGACGGACTTTATGCAATTTGTTTTATAAAATTATTTAAATATTTTTAAATTTATTTTTATATTATTTTTTTAAAAATATTTAATTAATTTTACATAACATATTGTATGTAAAACAATTTTTTGTAATTAATATAATTATCTTCTACATTATTGATTTTGCTATCATCTTTGTATTGAATTTTGCTATCAAGTGTTGAAATTTTCTTCGATTTAGAGCATATGTTAAGGATGAAGTTAATATATATTTTTTATATTAATTAATGTAAAAAATAATAAAATTTGATATTAATTTTCTTATTAATATTATATGTATTATTTTAATTAGATAGTTGATTAAATAAATATTAATTTTTATTTTTTTAATGACAATTAATATTAAAAAAATATTTTTAATTTTTACTCTAAAAACACATATTAGAACATCCTTATTTTCTTAAGAAAGATAACCCCATTTACTTGTTAAATTCAATTTTCAACACAGCTTTAAAGTTTTTTTTTTTTTTTTTCACTTTTGCCCATTTTAATAATTACTTCTTTCTTAAAAAACACATTCCAAACTTTCCAAGTACCCTTGTTAAAGTAAATATGAAATTTTAATCAGTAATAAATGTGCTTTTATAAATTTTTGTAATTTTTTTTATAATCATGTTAGATAAAAGTGAAATAAATAAAAAAGATAAAAAAAAAATACTTTTACTCGATTTTTAATGTTGAGTTTTAACCTCTTAATTACCAAGACACATTTTGAATATTGTTCATGATCCTCATACTCCATGGTGTTTAACTATTCCCATTTTTATTTCATTAACTGAAATGTAATCTGGCTAGGATGGAAATAATTTTTGTTTCGAATTGTGTGATGCATAGAAAGTTGTTTAATGATGGATAGTACTCCTACTGGATAAACTTATAGTTTGGGATCTTGAGGATCAAACCAGTTAATTATTAAAAAAAGGCAAAAATGCTAGAAGCACGATGTCATATATCATATTACATAATATCACATAAAATTAAATGCATAAATTTATATAATAATATGTGCCACCTCTAAAT